CCAAGTGGTTAGGACACAGGACTAGGGAGACCTGGATTCAAGCCCAGAACTTTGGGCCTGTCATTTAGCCTCAGTTCTCCATCTGTACCATGCACTGCCTCACCAGCGGTGTGGTGAGGCTCGGTACGTTAGAGATGGTGAGGTTATAAGATAACATGGCAATGGGGCCACTTTAGCTAGATGATAGTGCGTACAAATCCCAACAGATACATCGTCTTCCTCAGCCCCACTTCTTTGCCTTTATTCATAGAGGTTCAGGCCAGAAGAGGCCAGTCTGGCCTCCTGCCCAACCCAAGCCAGAGAACTTCATGCAGGAATTCCTGCATCCAGCTAATAATTTCTGTTCTAGCTTCATAGGGGTGTGGGTGGGATGTGTCATCCCACAGAGAACTGGCTTGTTCCTCTTCTCCCTTAGTTCTCAGCCCATGATCTAGCCGCCTCCTGTCTTCTCCTGTGAACCCACCAGTCTCCTTACTTCAATGCCCATGCTCTGCACTGGTAAGAAAGGCTCAAAGACCACAGCCCCCCCCCGGCCATAACTGCTCATTTCGAATGAAGCTGGAGTCAGATCCCAGCTCTGCCACAGACTCCCTGTCTGGCCTTGGGCAAGTCACTTAGGCTCAGATCCTCAAAGGTATTTAGATGCCCAACTCCCATGCCACTGGGAGTTAGGTGCCTAACTCCCTTTGCAGATCCAGGCTTTAGTCTCTCTGTGCCTCAGTTCCCCATCTGTACAGTGGAGATAACGCCACTGCCCTGCCTCCCAGTTTGTAGGAGGGAAAATGCACTAAAGGTCATGAGGCTCACAGGCTACAGCACCAGGGACCCTAAGTACCAGCGCTAGACAGGCAGCGAGCAAAGGGCAGGTTTAACCAAGACTCCGGGAGCAGGGGGGCCGTGATGGCAGCGCTCAATCTGAGCGGAGCACTTTGCGCCCTGTCATTCAGCAGGATAATTGCCGTCTCCCGCGAACGTCCTCGGGAGATCGCCCGGGTAATTAAAGATTAATACGGGGATGGATCGCTTTCAAAATGAGGGGGCGTCTGAGCCGAGGATTAGGGTTAATCTCTCTGACACCTTTCTCCCCCCGACGAGGGAGGAGAGTCCAAGGCCCAGAGGGAGGAAGGAGGTCGGAGGCCCTGGCAGGTCAGAGCAGAGGAAATGAATTCAAAGGACGTAGATGAAGAGACAGTGACGGCAGCCCTACAGGAACTCCTCTTCCCCGGGTTAAAAATAACTTCAGACGCCGGGGTTCCTCCCGGTAGCCAGGGGGGCAGGGCGGGGGCCCCCAAGAGCTCTTCTCCTCCCAACCCACAGGGCCCCCTCTGTCTCCTGTGGGGCCGGGATAGCACGGGGCTCGGAAGGAAGCAGGCAGCCTATGCCCTGCTGGGGTCAGCTCAGAGCAGCCCATCGCCCAGTTCCTCTGCCCAGCAGGGCCTGTGGGCCAAGCCAGCCCTGCCCCAGGACAGCATTGTAGCCCTTTAAACTCGCCCCTGGCCTCCAGCCTGCTGCACCTCCAGCGAAGTCTTTCTCTTGTGATTTGAGTTCAGTATCTCAGCCGGAGGTGAGAGGTTTATTACAGGAGTGGGTGGATGAGGTTCTGCAGCCTGCAATGTGCCGGGGGCCAAACTAGATGATCATGAGGGGCCCTTCTGGCCTTAGAGTCTCTGAGTCCAGGAGTCTTGGAGGTGCTGGGGAGGGGAGAGGGAAGACAGCGTGGGATACATGTGTGGGAGATTGATTTACACCAAGGAATCAGTTCTGCAGGGTGCCGCTGAAACCGGAGACCAAGGAACCAAGGCTGGGGCGAGAGTCAGCAATTAGCATCGTACGCTCCTGTTTATATTGGACTCCTGCATCTTGAGTCTGTCCTGGTCTCCATCAGTCATGGATGGGAAACAGATGCAGCTAACCAAAATGGGGTGTGTGGCCTCTGTTTGGGGAAAATGGCTGTTCGGTGGGGGAATGGAGGGGAGGCAGCGCCCCTCAGAAACAGCCCCGACAGGGCAAGGAGGAGAAAACCCCCAGGGTGTTAGGAGAGGAAGGTTGGCTTTGTTGAGTTTGGCTCCTAAATAGCTTTGAGAGGCTAGGCCTGTTTTTCTCACTCAGTGTCAGTTCGGGGCCTAGCACAACGGGGCCCCAATCTCAGTTGGGGCCCTCAGGCACCTACAGTAATATAAATACAAAGGAGAATGCCTGTAGCACCTTTGGGATCACAAAGCACTTGACAGGCTGCATTCAGAGGGATCCCTTACCAGACGGCGGGTGGCCAGTTCTGGGGTGGAACACAGCAGCCCGTCAGCACCATGCAACAGCAGTCATCCCCTACGTCGACATGCTTAATGCCAGCTGCTCCCCTGCCCCTGAGGTTCTGGATGGATCCAAGCCCATAGCAGGGGGCCTGCAAAGTAATGAGAGGAGGACTCCATAGCTGGGGAGGGGTTAGCAGCTGTGGGGGGCAGGTTGGGTCATAGGATGGGGTGTCAGCATTGGGTGGTGAGCAGGATTACATGTACTCCACTTAGGAAGGAACAATCAGTTGCACACATACAAAATGGGAAATGACTGCCTAGGAAGGAGTACTGTGGCAAGGGATCTGGGGGTCATAGTGCATTGCAAGCTAAATATGAGTCAACAGTGCAGCCCTGCTGCAAAAAACAAGCACACATCATTCTGGGATGTAATAGCAGGAGTGTTGTAAGCAGGAGTATTGTGTTCAGTTCTGGGCACCACGTTTCAGGAAAGATGTGGACAAATGTGGTTGTATCTTAGAGCTTGGCTGTAGACAATGGAGCTTGTGATGTGGTCTGGATGAAAGCTGGAGGCATGTAGGTAAGTATAGTGGTCAGTAGGTTTCCGGTATAGGGTGGTGTTTATGTGACCATCGCTTATTAGCACTGTAGTGTCCAGGAAGTGGATCTCTTGTGTGGACTGGTCCAGGCTGAGGTTGATGGGATGGAAATTGTTGAAATCTTGGTGGAATTCCTCAAGGGCTTCTTTTCCATGGGTCCAGATGATGAAGATGTTATCAATGTAGTGCAAGTAGAGTAGGGGCGTTAGGGGACGAAAGCTGAGGAAGCGTTGTTCTAAGTCAGCCATAAAAATGTTGGCATACTGTGGGGCCATGCGGGTTAGGGTTTCTTTAGTCCGGAGAAGAGAAGACTGAGAGGGGACATGATAACAGTTTTCAGGTACATAAAAGGTTGTTATAAGGAGGAGGGAGAAAAATAGTACTTCTTAGCCTCTGAGGATAGGACAGAAGCAATGGGCTTAAATTGCAGCAAGGGAGGTTTAGGTTGGACATTAGGAAAAACTTCCTAACTGTCAGGGTGGTTTAGCACTGGAATAAATTGCCTAGAGAGGTTGTGGGAATCTCCATCATTGGAGATTTTTAAGAGCAGGTTAGACACACACCTGTCAGGGATGGATAATATAGATAATAGATAATATTTAGTCCGGCCATGAGTGCAGGGGACTGGACTAGCCGACCTCTCGAGGTCCCTTCCAGTCCTATGATTATCTGATTCTATGTTGTGGGGCAGAGAGAGTGGGCAGCGGGGGGTGCTGGCGGTGGGGTCGTTGGGGAGGGCTAGGCAGCTGCGAAGGGAGTGAGTGGACCCTTCTGAGGTAGGAAGCCATGGACTGGCAGCTGGAACACAGGCAGTGCCAGACTGAATCAGAGCGGGGATCCCTCTAGCCCAGGGCCCTGTATCTGACCGTGGCCAGAGGGAGGTGCAAGAAACCCCCGCAGAAGGGTGTTATGGGATAACCTGCCCCTAGGAAAAATTTCCTCCTGACCCCCGCCTCCCCCAACAGCCTCCCCGCCTCACACCCAGGCATGACACCGCTTCCTTTCTCCGCATGACCCTCAGGGAGGCAGCACTGAATGAGTGTGTGCAGAAAACACCCCCCCCCATTAACGACGCATGCTAATTACACGGCAGTTATGCCAGAGATTAGCTTGTGGCTAACAGTCCTGGGGTCTCCCAACAGGGCAGGAGTTCAGAGGGTCTGAGTTAGCGAAGAGCTCCCACTGCAGCTTGGGGCTGCCCCCCTGTTTGTGCGGCAAATTGTTCTGCTCTGATTACAGGGTTAACGGCAGCTTCCAGCCCCCCATTGTTAGGGTGAAGGGAACACGGGTCTGGTTGAGGCTGCTGTAGTTGGTGCCTTTCCCTCTCCTGAGCTTCCCCTTCCTTATGGGGTTGGGGGGTTTGCTATCGGGATCCCGAGCTTTCCCCACTAGGCTGCTGATTCAAATCCAGCCAGAGGGAATGGCTTGTTGAACGAGCCACTGGTCTCGGTCCAGCGCCCGCTGGACAAGGAGCTCTATCATCCCCTTAGCACCGATGAGCAGGCTGGGGAGTGGATGGGCCGTGGCGCGTTAGGAACCTCAATAGCTTTGAGGATCTGGGCCTGAGCTCCTGGGGAGAGGCAGGACAGTGCGGGGCCGTGATCTGGGGAGAGGGGACGTGGGTCTCCAGGGTTGTCAATCTGGCACCTTTCACCAGCCCTAAACACGCTTCCTAATAATAAAACCCGTAATTGTCTGGGTTTTTATAAGCTTGTGCTGCAGCTGCAGAGGGCTCTTGAATCTCCTCTTGTTCCAGTTGGGTAACAGCCACGTACAGCTAAAGAAGTTGCCTGTGCTAGGACACAACAGAGCCCCGAGTGTTTGTCCTGCCACAGCTCCTGCCTTGGGCCAGTTTGCCTTGCCACCGGTAGCTCCGTTTAGAGGGGGACTCGATATAGTTCTGTAGGTCTGTGTAGGAGCAACGGTATCGTCTGGCTCTCCAGCAGGGCAGCACAGCTGTGGCAGAGGTGGAACCAGGAGCTTCCAGAGCTGCTACAGCTTGAGCTAAAAAGCCAAGGCTGCCTAGTCAGGCCAGTAACAGACTCATATCCTCTGCGGATCAGCATAGGCCTGCACCACTCGCTCACCGGGGGGGGGTTACCCACACACTGATCTCTCGCTCGCGCGCTCTCTCTCTGCTCCATTGCAGGTGTGACCTACTCGGACACCGTCAGCGCCACGGAGGCGTGCAAGCCGTGCACAGAGTGCGTGGGCCTGCAGAGCATGTCGGCTCCCTGCGTGGAGTCGGACGACGCCGTCTGCAAATGCATCTACGGCTACTACCAGGACGAGGGGAGCGGCCAATGCAAGGAATGTGACATCTGCGAGGTGGGCTACGGCCTGATGTTCCCGTGCGGGTACACTCAGAACACCGTCTGCGAGGAGTGCCCCGACGGGACCTTCTCCGACGAAGCCAACCACATGGACCCCTGCTTGCCCTGCACCATCTGTGAGGAGAACGAGGTCTTGATCAAGGAGTGCACCCCGATATCCGATGCCGAGTGCAGAGGTAATGGGCCCCTGCATCCCTGTGCTGTGGAGCGTGGATCATGGTAGTTCAAATTAACACCTTAGGGCCAAATCCAGCCCCATTAAAGGCAATGGGAGTTTGGCCGTTAGCTTCCTTGGGCTCACGATTTGTCCCTTCGTGACTTTCAGGTCAAAAGGAATAAGTCACCCAGCACACCTTCCATTCCTACCTCTCAAAGCATTTTACCAAGGGTAGGTCAGGAGCATTAGCCTCACCTTACTGAAGGGAAAACTGAGGCACAAGGAGGGTGAAGGGATATGTTGATGGTCACACAATGAGCCAGTGTCAAAATTAGAAGGAGGACCCAGGAGTCCTGGCTCCCAGTCTCCTGTTTTGATTATGACACCGCTCAAACAGCTTAGCAAAGAACCCAGGAGTCCTGGCGTTAAGTCCCCTGCTTTGATCACAATACCACTCAAACGGCTTAGAAAAGAACCCAGGAGTCCTGACTCCCAGTCCCAGCCCCCTAGACAATGTGGCCTCCCAGCAGACTGGGAACTTTACTTCTAAACCCCCCTCCCCACCTCTGTTCCCCACCTTTCTGGGACATAATGGTAAAGCAGGACGTGCAGGGTTTGATTGTTCCATATGGTTCTACCTGTCACTTCAGACAGATCTGGCTTCCCCAGCAATGTCGCCGTGCCAATATAGAAACAGCTCCCAGATGAGCAATGGAACCAGCCACAATGTTCTCTGACTCTGCCCCCACTGCACGGCCTTGGCAGCTATCCCTCCAAGTCAGAGAAAGCTCCGCCCGGCTAGCCCCCCTCATGCTCCCGCACCGAGTCCACCCCAGCTGCTTCCGCATCAGAGGCAGGGGAATGGGTGTACGGAAGTATGGAAATTCTTTGGCTGCCAATCTTTGTTCACCTGGGAGGCCCAGGGATTAGATCAGGGGAGTGTGAGCTTGGCCAACTCCCTTAGCAGCTTTGTGCCTCGGTTTCCCCTTGTGGATAAAGGGGATAATGGTGCTGCACCCAGCTGGTTACGGGGCTTTGGGATCTTCCAGTGAAAGACACTATAAATGCAAAGCATTATCTGTGTCCGCTGTATCCCCGGGGCTGATACTGATCATCCATCAGCTTAATTCAGTGCTGAACATTATGATGAAAACTGCTACACATAGTAGAGAAAGCAGCGTGGATCCTAGGCTGGGGCCACTGGAATGCCTGGGGTCCGAGTGTTGGTTCTGGACAGTGGCTTTGCACACATCAGGGTAATAAAGCAGCAACCCCACGGCTAGCAGGGAAATCGGGGATGCAATACTGTCTCAGATGCAGCCCTGGGCATTTCAGGGGTTTGACGCTCAGTGGGCAGATTCCAGAAAAGCCAGCACATGTTCTGACCACGTGGCTTTGTGTCTGCTGCTTCCAGCTCTCACGTGGCTTGCAAACATCTGCCCTGCACTGGCGGTTGGTCTGGTGTGTTTCCAAGGAGTCTATGACTTCCTGGCAACGGCAGCATCTTGGCTCCAAGGTGAAGCCCGGCTCATGTGGGGAGGGATGTGCCCAGAGGCCTCTGCTGGCTGCGTTTAAAAATAATCGGCCTGCCTGGTAGTTACAGGAACCTGGAGCAAAGAGGAGATGTTTAATAGCTTCAGACGCTTTGTTTGTGGCAGTTGGAGCCTGGCAGTCCTGGCCTTCTGCAAAATGGAATTTGGCAGCCGCCGGGCCCCTAATGGGAATTAATTGAGGCGTTTAGTCGTTGCCAGGCCTGGGGGCTGCACTGCCCCAGGAGGAGCTAGTGTGCTTCATTTTGGGGAGTGGGGGTGTGGCGTGGACACAGAACTTCTCTGTTTCCTGGGGCACAACGCCCAGGGACAACGTCTCCCTAAAATCCTACAGCATCCCCATCTAGTTCAGGGCCTGCTGGCTCCAATGAGGCTCAGTGCCTGGCAGAACCGCACCAGTTGGCACGCGGCATCAGTGACTGCTTCCTGAGGCTCCGCTGTGCCACCCCGCAGGAGGGATGTGGGGCCGGGCTGCATTTTGCTGGGGAATTGTGTTAAGAAGAGGGAAGTAAGGAAATCGGGAGCATGGGACAATGCTTCAATTCTCCCCTGGGATTATTGAGGAATCAAATCTCAGGACCGGGAAACAGGCCAGGGGGGGTGAGACAGAGCAAATCCACGCAGCCCTGCAGGGAATGGCAAGCTCTGGCCTGTTGGCTTCAGTCCCTCAGCTCCTTCACTACTTCTTCTAATGCCCGTGTTGAGTTCAGGTCCTGGCGCGTCACGTCAGTGGGATCCAGGATAGGGACTGAGCTCTGGGGGAAGGATTGAGTGCTCGGGGCCAGCTGGGGATCGGCTGTAATGTCAGTCTGGGACTTTGCCTCAGCCCCTCAAAGATATTTAAGCTCCTCACTTCCACCTACGCACTCTGGACAGAGAAGGGGTAGGCCTGGGCCTGGGAAGTTTATGGTCCGATGTAACCCACTGGTGGGTGTGAGCTACCAGTCCCGGGTCCTAGAAGAGGTGAGTCTGTTACAGCCCTAGCTAAGGCGCTTGGGCTTACACTACAGCAGCTTATGGTTTTTTGGTTTGTTTTTTTTTAGCTCTGAAGGTTCCCGATTCAATCCCCCAGGGTGCCGGTCTACTAAAATGACATGCAAATTAGCACTGTAATGGTTTACACAAAATGTCACCCATGTAGGGAAGGGAGGCCATTTATCGGAGGAGCAACGATGCACATGATCTGATTCCCTTTGTTGTCATCTGGCAGTAACCTCCTGTTCCCCCAGGCTGAGTCCTCTGCCGCCCCAGCCATGCTGATGACACTTCACGGAGAGGCCCCGTTCCCCAGGGGATTTCCCAAAAGGGGCAGTCCTTTATTTAGAAAGCTCATTAGCAGAATGAATGGCACGCTGGGCTGGTGGCAGGGGTGGGGGAGGGCACCGGTTTCCTCCTTTGGTTGGAGACGTAGTTATGCTCCCTGCCCCGAGCACAGAAGTAGAGAAGAGACCATTGTGCCATGGGCGTCTCTGATTCACCGCTGCAAGGCAGGGGGAGTTCTGGGCAGCCCTTTCTGGCTGATCCCTTTACAGGGTTGAATAAATGGAGCCAGAAGTCAAGGCACAAAGGGCGGGCTTTGTTAGCAGGTTTTTATGC